CCGCAGTGACTGGCCGGTGGGGGCTTTCCACTCCTGAGCTGGTCAGATCCTCGCTCCACCCAAGTGGCCTGGGCCAAGTCACAATGCCCGTCGGAGCCTCGGTTTCCTCGCCTGGAGCGCGGGGTTTATATTTCCGCCACAGGACTACCGTGAGGATCGAATGAACCAGCGTGTAAATGCCCTTAGCCCGCGGCTGCGTTCAGGCGAGGTTGTAAAGGTGCTTCAGTTCCCTTCCCTCATCCTACAGGTGGGATGGCTTTGAGGGCCTCACCGTCGCATTTCTGAGGTCCGGGCACGTGGATACGTGCCTCAGCAGTGCCTGGCGCACAGTGAGTGTGCAAGAAACGTTTGCTTGAGCACTAGCTGCTGTTACAACAGGTCATAGGATAGGGTTTCTTTTATTTATTTATTTATTTTATTTATCATTGGCTGTGTTGGGTCTTCATTGCTGAGTGCGGGCTTTCTCTAGTTGCGGCGAGCGGGTGTTACTCTTCATTGCGGTGCGCGGGCCTCTCATTCACTGCGGTGGCTTCTCTTGTTGCGGAGCACGGGCTCTAGGAGCATAGGTTTCAGTAGTTGCAGCACGGGGGCTCAGTAGTTGTGGTGCACGGGCTTAGTTGCTCCTCGCACGTGGGATCTTCCCGGACCAGGGATCGAACCCGTGTCCCCTGCATCGGCAGGCGGACTCTCAACCACTGCGCCACCAGGGAAGCCCAATCCTGTATTTTTAAGAAATAAAACATCAGCCTCTCCCTAGTCTCATTCCTCCTAGAAGTCAGCTACCGTCCGTCCTGAACGTGCACTTTGTCTTTCCTGGACGTGATTTTATACCCGCACTGCGGGTCTAACTGCCACACACAGCACAAAGCGCGTGCAGGCTTTCGGCCTGTGCACCAATGTTGTCATCTGTTTCGTTCTGCGCCTTGCTTTGTAGGCTCACCATTACGCTTTCATGCTGGTCCACGTGGCTGTAGTCCTGACCCTCTTGCCGCTGTTTATAGCACGTGTTATATCGTATGAACGTGCCCTGGCTCCCGACTGCCCCAAAATTAAAACAGACACCTTAACCAATTCAAAGGCCCTGCACAACCCAGCCCCTGGGGACCACCTCTCTTTGCCTCATATTCTTGCTACACTCAATTTTATTGATGACTGAAACCCACCAGGTGTCTGGAACAATCTATCTCCCTTCCTTGTCACTGCTACTCCTCCCAACTTAGCTGGCTAATTCCTGTTCATGCCTGAAGTCCCCCTGAAATGTCACCCTCCCAGGAGGTCTCTGATCCCCAGGCCACATCAGCGTCCCCACCCCCCTGCTGTGTGCTGCGTTCACTGCCGTATTCCCACTGGCCTGACTCCACACACTTAGGGAATGAGTGAAAGAAGTATGGAATAATGCATCTTCACTCGTTCTTCCTGCTGGCGCTTTTGTCCTAAGTAAGTTGATGATGACACGTAATTCACATACAGTAAAATTCACTCTGCCCCCATAGAAGCCTTCTGTGCATCTCAGTAATCAAGATATAGAGTAATTCCATCAGCCTCCCAAAATTCCCTCGTGCCCCTTTGTAGGCAACTCCTTCCCTTCATCCCTAGCAACACTAGGGATGTTTTCCTAAACTAGATCTGTTTTCCAAATCTAGATCTAGATTTTTCCAAATCTAGATCTAGATTTCCAAAACTAGCTCTGTTTTCTGTCCCTGTAGTTTTACCTTTTCCAGAATGTCATCTAAATGGTATCACACAAGCTGTAGCTGTTGAGTCTATCACCAGCATCTCAGTCGTGCGCCAGGAACTATGGAAGAAACAGCAATAAATCATGAGATCTACACTACGTGCAGGGGAGACCTTTTTTTTTTTTTTTTTTTTTGGCCGTGTTGGGTCTTCGTTGCTGCACGCGGGCTTTCTCTAGTTGTGGCGAGCGGGGGCTACTCTTCGTTGTGGTGCGTGGGCTTCTCATTGCCGTGGCTTCTCTTTGTTGCAGAGCACGGGCTCTAGGCACGTGGGCTTCAGTAGTTGTGGCACGCGGGCTCTAGAGCGCAGGCTCAGTAGTTGTCGCCCACGGGCTTAGTTGCTCCGCGGCACGTGGGGTTTTCCGGGACCAGGGCTTGAACCCGTGTCCCCTGCATTGGCAGGCAGATTCTTAACCACTGTACCACCAGGGAAGTCCCAGGGGGCCTTTATATAGACAAATATGTTCAATTTAGTAACTACTCTTTTTTTTTTAACATCGAAATCAGGTTTCCTTAGCGCTGACCATGTGGCAGATTCGTTCCTCATTACAACCCTGTCTGCATTTTTCAGATGAGGAAACCGGGATGTTGCGGGAAGTTAGGAATCCTATTCAAGTTAGCACTGCCAGCTGGTAGAGGCAGCCCCCGTCCCCAGGCTCAGTGCCTTAGTGCCAAGCCCAGGGCTCCTCCTTCTTTTCTTGTTTAAATTATTTTTAGTTACACAGAAGAGCACAAAGCCTTGTTCTTTCAAAAAGTCTTGTTTTAATCAGAGGGCTCCATTTGCTAATTTTTGGAAAAGAAAATATTTCTTCTTCTCTGTTGACCATGTTTCTTGCTCTGTCAAGATGGTGAATCAGACGGGCACCTGTCCTCCCGGCATCGAGGGGCCCGGTCCCCTCCCCAGGGGTCGATGGGAGCTGGTTGATGGGTCTGGTTTTGTGGTGCTTACTGGAAGTAGCTTTCTAGAGAATTGAATTACTTTCCAATATGATGTTCCGAGCCTGTGGATTCGTGGTGTGTCCAGCGAGGCCGCCCCAGAAACGTGGGCCCGATTCTGCTCTCGGTGACCTGAGACCACGGTGGCACCTGTGTGCACCTGTGTCTGTTGGTGAGCAATTGTCACTCAGCCAGTACGGTTTAGACACAGACTCAGGGTGGAGGTGCAGATACCAGCCACCCAGTACGTTCCCAGGCCCAGTGGGGTGTAGATCTCGGTGGGGGGGGGGGGGTTACCTTCGTCTGCAGTCACGGTTGGGAGCACAGAGGGACACGAGTAACGTGTGGCGAGCACCTCTGGTCGGTTCTCTCAGAGGGTTTTCCTGGCAAAAATGCGTGCGAGTGTCTTGCTGAGGATGCCTGGAAGAAAGAAACATGCCTCCACTCGAGCTATTCAGGGCGCCCGCCTGCGCCGGTGCCCAGAACAAAACGGGTGGTGCTCGGGCAGCAGTGCCGGCCAGTATGTTCTCCAGGCAGCCATGATTCTGACCTTGCTGTGGGTTAAAGGACACAAACCTGAGAAGAAATCTGTTTATCATGTGGGGAATTCATGCCATCCTTGACAGTATACAGTGAGCAAGATAAATGATCTGCCAAATTGGTCCCTCGCCTGGGTGACTCAGGGCAAGTTCACGGTGCAATTCCATTGCTGCTTCACATTCAAAAATAACGTTTGCTGGGTTTTATATCCAGTTGTACGATGACCTGGAGGTGAGCCGAGAGGAGAAATCCGATTTGTAGGATTCAGCTTGCCTTGGGATTTATATGGACCATTTCTGCTGTTTACGTCTGTCTCTTTCACAGCTTCACAAACCAGTGTTTTTTGGGGGGTTTTTATTTTTAACCTGATTTTCCAGGTTGAGGACACAGCGTTATGTGATGGTGGAACTCTGTCCTGGTTTAGGGCGACAGATGGGTTTATCGGTTGAATTGCAGTTGTTTTATTGGGGATTTTCTCTTTCTAGGTATTTATACAAAATATCCCTTGTATCTGGAATACAGTTTCCATCCTCTTGAGTTGAGAATAGGTTGTCCTCCTGGATATCGTATGTCCATCGAAGGACCCTCCAGTTATACGATCAGTTACAATTCAGTTGCTCCTTAGTTTTATATTTTCTTTAGTCAGGTCGCGGGTATTGGGGGTGGGGGGAGCGCCCACGTGTGCTCACACTCAGTGCGTGGCCCGGCCTCATGAGCTGTCATCTCTCTGGAGCTGTAGAGCCCTGTGACAGCGCCCGGCCTGGCCCCTCACACAGGGTGCCGTGGGATCTCCCCGTGTGCCGTGCCTGGTGGGAGCGGGGAGTGGGGGCAGAGACTGAACCCAGACTCTGGGCCAAAGGCAGGTAGGACCGCAGTGCTAGGTCACTTTGCATTTTCTCTATATTTGGAAATTAGGAAATGGCAAAAGCCCTTATTCCAGGCATCCCAAAACTAGAACGGATGTCAGGTTTTACGGGTAATGCTAACAGAGAGGCCCGAAGGGACCACTCAGCAACAGAGCACAGTGGCACTCCCTGCCGGGCACCTGCAACAAGACAGCTCCTTCTTACGAAAGGAGAGCGTGGAGACCTGACTGCCCACGCTGGCCCCGTCTCTTCCGGTGTTGGTGACAGCATGGCATAGACAGAGAGCTAGGCTTTCAGAAGCACATCCTGGGCTCTGGCAGAGAGCAGGGTGGGCACTCCTCTTCCATCGGTTCCCTCCAGGTAGGGCGCCATGGAGCCCTCCGGGATCACAGTGAGAACCGACCTGGGGTCCCAGCTCAGCACTAGGCGGCCGAGGGCTTACGTCTCATCTTCAAGGGTCTTCATCGCTGTGGTGACCACGCATCGTAGGCAGCCCTCATTTAAAATACTATGTCTATTCATTTTGTGCTGGAAATTATGGACAAAATACGTATGCAAATTATAATCTAGCCAAGGTACTTCTGAATTATAGAATTAAGGGGTTCCATCGGAAGAAATCATGACAGTGATAGCACGTGACTAATAGGACGTATTTTTTAACAGAATGCCCTTTATTGAGCCTTCAGACCTTCTCTTTAAACCCCTAGTTCTTCTTCTGTTGCTGTTTTTTTATTTTTTAATACAGAAAATGAAAGGTTAATTCTCAGCCAAAAAACTAAGAAACAATTCATTTAAATCCATAGGCCGCCATGCTGTCTCCTTCTTAAACAGACGTTTAATTAGTAATTCCTAGATCAGGAAAGTAGACGCACATGGTGAAAGGCAGCTGTTTTCAGCCTCGGTTTTCTGTGTGCTTTGATTACAGAAAGCACTCCAAAGACCTCTGCCAGCTGCAGCCCTGCACCCGAATCACCGATGAGCTCTAGCGAGTCAGTGAAGAGTTTGACTGAACTGGTCCAGCAGCCCTGTCCCCCCATTGAAACAAATAAGGACGGCAAACCTCCAGAACCCAGCGACCCGCCCGCTTCAGACTCCCAGCCCACCACGCCACTGCCTCTCTCCGGACACTCGGCTCTCAGCATTCAAGAGCTGGTGGCCATGTCTCCAGAGCTGGACACCTACGGCATAACCAAGCGGGTCAAGGAGGTGCTGACCGACAACAACCTGGGTAGGTTCCCTCCCCCGCTGCTGGGTCAGGAGGTGGCAGGTCGTCTCCCGTCGGGAGTTCTCAGGAGGAGAGGGTGGAAGGGGGGCCTCAGGCTGAGCCAGCCAGAGGGTTTAAACATTCACAGGCTGCCTGTAAGAACCTAAAACGTCCTACAGTTGTGAGCAATAAGGGTTCATGAGGGTGTTAGAGGTCTAAGGTCAGTCCCAGCCCAGCCCCGCCCCACCCCTGTGCCCCAACCAGGACCTCTTGGAAGACAAGCATGCCGGCCGGAGCCAACTCAGGCCATACACTCCGACCACCGATGGGGGCGTGCCCAGTGGAGCTCTGAATCCGGGGGCGGGGGGGGGGGGGGGCGGTTGTGCAGAGCAGGGCAGAATCAGCTGAGCCCAGGAGCATCTGGATGGCGTCACGGGAGAGCCCGACAGGCAGGGTTCAGATTTGCTGTGAAGGCAAATCTGTGATCTGAGGGGTGAAACTTTTCACACCAGGGAGACGACCTCCTCCTCTTTGAGCAGAAGAGGCTCCATCGCAGCGTCACCCTGGATTTGGAGATGAGAGGCATCTTCACGGTTGCTCAGCTGGTCTTGGCTTCTCCGGGAAAGAAGATGCCTCCACTCCCAGGGTGTGTGAGAGGAGTAATAGCCACGAAGGGGGCCAAGCTACAGATGAGTTAGGCAGCTTGGTCAAGATTCAGTCATCCTCTTAACCTTTGACCTGGGGTCTTGGGGGTGTTCATGGGTTAGTCTCTTAAAGTCATAGCAGGATGTGTGTGTGTGCACACATTTTTTTT